GAAAGCCAACTCATAATTAAAAATACAACAGCTGCACAATTTTAGTTGAGTTGTACTTTATGCAAAAACTATAAAGTCTTACAAATCCCTGAATATTTTTTGGTTAAAATATTTTGAAAAATCTGATTTTTCGCAACTATTTTTCCTGGTGTTAATATTTATTTGACCTAATGTTCTCTCTTAGACTAAAACAAAAATGAATAAAAACTAGGTAAAGATGTACATATACGTTGATATAAAATTGAAAATGTTTTTTGGAGATACCATTCCATATGGCGCCAACTTAAGTACACATTGTACATCAGGTGAAATATATGAGTATATGTATAGTCCAAATTGTGTTATTGGGAGCAATGCACCCAAAAGTCCCAATTCTCAATTTGTAACTATTAACACGAGAAAGGATGGAACTAACGGATTTACCTAGATTTTTGATAAGATTTTTCCGATCTTTTCATACTACTTACTTCAAGAAAAATGTCGAACATGGCGAAGCTTTTTTATACAACTTTCAAAAATTTTAAAATAGTGCGTTATAAACACAATAAACCCCTAAAGAGCACCTAAAAAAGCGACAGAGCATCTGAAAAAGCGGCAGAGCGCCTCGGTGTGGGTCACGGGGTCATTGGATTTGACCCATTTTCAATTGGCTTACTACATGTGGTATTTAGGTCAACTGTGCAAAGTTCGACAGTTATCGTGTTCACGGACGGACAGACGGACATCATAGACTCCCCTATAAAGTTTGCATCGCTTTGCTCTGCCGTTTAATAAAAGCAATATAAAATTATAAATGAATTTAATTGTTACGCTTTTATTTTTTAAGTTGAGGTGATGTGATAGTAGTGGTATTATTTCAAAATTAATATGTGAACTAGTGCAGCTCAAAATTTTAAAAGGGTGACCTCAAATAGTTTTGAGACTATACCTACTTGTCTTGCGAACTTTTCAGGGGTTCGGTATCTATCATACAAACATTTTTGAGAGGTACATTTATAGTAGTACATTTGCTGATGAACACAATCGGTAGTTCCCAGTCGAAAAAAGTGGAGAGTTTCTATTACGTCACGTGAAAAATATTCGCATAGTAATTTTCCATGTCGTGTCGATTAAAGCAACACATCCACATTGAGAGGAAGATGGCAGAAAGGTCAAATGCTTCTGACAGCAATTGCTGCTGTACGTAGATAAATTAGATAACCGTAATAAAATAAATTTTTGGAGGTCAGTCGGTGATATAAAATTACAATTACGAAAGCAATAATCTGGAACATTATTCGAAATTGAATTGAGATAAAAGGCTCGAGGCCGTTCTCGCCTCTCGTCGCCTCCTCCTCCAATTTTTGTACCTACTAATTTACCTATACTATATACACGTATATATACACACGTTGCGTCGGCCGCATTCAATTAAAAATAGTTGTGACTGACTGAGTAACCCTCGGATCAGGATCATTCATATTTACTAAACAACGACGACGTCCACAACTGTAATTACGTGATCATTTAAGTTTGTTTACAAACAACTCTGAAAAGTTGTAAATTCTTACAAGGGAAAATTCATTTCTACTCTGCGTTCGCCACACATTGGGCTTAATTAACTTCGAATTTAAGTTGAATAAACTGTAACGCCGCCCACTTTGAATTTGCTATTTCAATCGAGAAAAGACGCTCGTCGAATAAATTGCCTTAAGATAATCAAGTAATTGCCTCCTTCACCTCCCCAGCGCGCACTAATCGCCTAAATGAAACTATAGTCAATAGAATGTAAATTTGCCAAGCGATGACGTCATCTCATTTGTGGGATGTGGGCGCCAGCAAACCAATTACACAGTAGGCTGTGAAGCAGATTTTACGTATTAACTGGGTTTCCTTGAACTCGTAGCAAACCACATCTATACATAGCCGCAGCTCCGTTAAATTCCTTACGAAATTTACGCGTTATCTGTTCATTTTAAAAATATCTTGAAAGCCGTAGGTATTTTCAGATGCTCCATTTTTTTGAGTTCGCTCGTCGAAATTGGAAAATGGAAAATCGACAATTAGCGGCATCACCTGTTGCACGATCAAGTAGCGTAGATTTCAATAGATTTAAATGGAACCAGTTTCAAGTGGATCTATATCGCTCTTATTTTATGTTGATCATGAGCTTCTGGCATGTTTGCATTATTGGCCAGTGTTTGATGAATCTCGTAGTTAATTTGCAGAAAAAGTGTTTGCAAAACTGATAACATGGATGAGACAGTACCATTTATACCTCATCCATGTATACACTTATGTACCTTGTCTAAGGGAATTTGCAAACTAACTGAATTCATCATCAGATGACGTTTTACCTCATCTTTAGACTTTAGTCGTCTGTCGATCTTGACCTGCTTAGGCGCAGATATTAATTGCATCCAGCCAGATATAATATTGGTGTTAGTATGGTAAATCTGCCGGTCCAGTTTATTCTGTTATTGTTTCAAAATTTCTATTGGGCATACTCAAACATGCGGGGTACCATTTATTGCCTTTTATATAAGTTAAACCTTTAAATCATCAGATATGGTTTTGTTTCCAAAATTCGATTTTCTTAATAATAACTGCAAATTTTCTAAAACGCATTATTAATTTATTTATTTACATTTGCTTGCTAAAGGGCGACAATTCCAATGATGCATCGCAAGTCGTGGGTTATAATTTTGAAACAGGACTGGCGAGAGGGGGGGGGGGGGAGTTTGGGGTACCGTTATACTTTTACTGTCAGATTTCTCCGTTCATATTACCGAAACGATTTTGAGTTATTGAATTCCTAATAGAGATAATGATATATGGGCCGTTGAACTTTTTTAATGGTAAAAAGCATAACCAAATAGGAGTCAAAGCATTTCTAGGGGTGTTTGTATGCTTGAATCAACCCCATACCTCGTTGTCTTAAAAATCAATCTTTTACATCATGAAAATACAAACATTGATAAAAAATACACATCAACCCTCTTTATTACGAAAGATGTGATATAAAATGATCATTATTTTGCTGAGATTCGCTACGTAATTTTTCAACAAGTCGGTATATTGAAATGCATTTTCCCAAATCTTTGGCTAACGTCTATACTCCCCAACAAAATTTAGTTCATCAAATTGTTTTCAAAATTAATTTCACAATTCGTAAATATTAAGTTAACCATCTCAAAATTTGAGTTTACCATTTAGCAGCTGTTAATTAACTTCGTAGATGAGATGAGAGGAGAGCCTTCACCACCATGTAGTGTATAAACTTAAGATTTAGAGGCTCATTAGGTGCTAATTTGAATTTTCTCACATACCACACAAAGTAAAAATGTAATTAAAAAGTTTCGCTAATAATCACGGCTTTAGATGATGTCTGTGAATTTAAGTAGTTGCTGGGTTGGGGTAAGCTGGCAGCGAGGCTGGCAGTATAAAAATGTGTTATTTTTAACACAAGAAAGTTAGTAGAAGTCGCTTGAGACAACCTTCGAACATCTTTGCATTTTATGCAACTTATTACGTCACCGCATTTGCATGTTTAAATTTTGCTCGCAGCCACTATGGTTTTTTTAACAATGTAAGCTCCAGAAAAAAAAACGTAATGAGCGTCACCAGTTTGACTGGTACAATCCGTTGACATTTCTCAAATTGTACGCTGACTGACGTTACATGGTGTAGGTGGCATTATTCAGAGGGGGTTCACGAAATTTTGAAGAACTGATTGTTCATTCTTTATTAGAAATTAATTCAATAGCTTCATTAAAACGACTGTTTCGGATTTTGAAAACATCCCCGTCCATTTTTGTGGGGGAGACCCAAACGTCGGATTTTGAACTCTCATTTTATTGGGAACTAAAACTTTTTATTTAAATAAATTGATTATATAAGGTTTAAACTTTCATTTAACACAACATTTCTACTCTCCCTCCTCCCCCAATAACGGGAAAAGGTCAGACAACTCCAACTTTCAAAATGTTCTGAAAGTCCAGAAGCTTCTTGGTGTTGACGTGTTATTTGGGAATCTATGTGCCGTGATACTACTACCACAGATTATACTACTAATGTGCGTATTTTTTATCCAATACAACCTGTGCGCACGTATGACCAGAGGGCAATGTTATAGATTTGCCACAAAAATATAAGTAGGTAATATTGTCCTTCCAGTTTATCGTCCTGAATGTGATTAATGGCGAATTTGCCAACGTAGTTCATATTCGCTTGCCTCTCGAGCATGTAGTATGCATTTATTGTGCAACTTTACTCCACTACACAAGAATAATTACGTGTGACTTATTGGCAAAAATTTAATCGAGCATTTCCACTGTACACTGTACAAGTTCTTTTTTACCATGCATATCGGTAATAAAAACGCGATATCAACAAAACCTTTCGTGCAACAAATTAAGTATGGTGTTGCAAGTCATGTGGTGCACTTCAATAAAAAAAGGCAGTAGTAAAACATGTCATAAATTCGATCAGTTTTCTTTTTGCCACGATTACTTAACGCCATACGAGAATATCAGTGATTGTAAATTACATTAGGTTTCGTATACGGTATACCCTCTGAGAATTTCGCCCAAATTATTAACACTAGAGAAATAAGTAAACAGAATGCCAGTGTAACCGTCTCTCTTTGGAGTATCGGAACGAAATAATCGCATGATTTTGCTGACCAAGTTTGACCGATCTAAAAATTGACACGGTCATGGTCACATTAATTCGTACAAAATTAATCCGTGTCTTGTAATGTCCTTTAAAGCTGGGGAAAACGTGACGGCGCGGCAGTTCCATTGAGTTATTCTCCTTGAGCGCCCAAAACACGAAAATTGAGTGTTATTAGCTTCGACGATCGAACGGAGACAGCTAAAAGTTTATGAGGTGATACGCAATAAATGAACAGCTATATATACATCAATAATAATTTATGTGGGCAGAAAAAATCAACACTGAATTATGATTCGATTTAATTTTTATTGTTCTACATTATTCAATTTTATTTTTCGTTTCAGGTAAGGGCGTTGTGATGTATCCACAGCTTCACTTCACTTCAGTTCAGGTAGGACTGTTTCGCTAATCCTCATTTGTTATTAAACGCTCCCTTAAAGATAGACGAAACAAATCGATTTTATCATGAACTGATATCGATAACGCAATTGCGTTGCTGTATTATTTGTTTATTCTATGCAGGTTGTATTGTATCGAATCGACGCCAAACGTCGAGCACGTAAATGGTAAATATCCCAACTCCAATTGTCGACATTGGAGATAGATAGTTTATTTTGTTTAATGTCGCACATTGTCATCCTCAAAAACAGAAACTTACTTCTCCTTGCACTCTTTCACTTTACAAAAATGTCACCAGAATTGGTTTAGCTCATTTTAAAAAAAATGCATGTCTATTCATTCTCCATTTTACTTTTTTTTCTTGTGCAGTGTTCGCGCTCCAAATTTTAAAACCTCAAATTAAAACTCATATAGTTTTATTTCCGAATCGCGGCTCCTTGTGCGTCTTTCGGTTCCAAAATTTTGAACTTTTTTTTTTAGTTAAAATTTAGAACGACCACGGTTTTAAATCTTGCTTGAATCTTCGTTTCAGCATCGCGAATTGAATTGAAAGTATTTTTTCACATCCTTCGCTCTTTATTGAAATTTGAAAGTTCATTAGTATTGAAATTTCCCTCACAGTCGCAGTTTGAAATACTTTTACATCTAAGATTTCCAAATTTTAAACTTTTGACGTTCATCTACGAATGTTCTTTAAACTTCAGTCGCAACCGTCAAACTTTGATATTCAATTTTCAAGATTTCAGCTTCAAATTCAATCTTCATAATACACATTTTAAAACTGACACTTGACCAGCCAGCTTGCCACATTTATTAAATCCAGGGGTTGTGTTGAAATTTTACTTTTTCATTATTAATAACCACCATAAAATAGCGTCGTAGATTACACTAAACGTCCATTGGAAATGGAAAGTTTACTACTCTTAAAATTTGAACTTTATACGTAAGTGTCGTCTAATTCAAATAAAATTGTTCGTTTATGAAGCAATCTTGGCTCTTCCGAATTTAAAGAATGAATGCCTGCAGTTTTATGCTAACTATACGACATACTTCTTTGAGATTTGATTCTCAAGCAACTTAGTGCAGGGGTTAAGAGCCAAGATAGGTTTCAACCTTGCATTTTGTGATAACTTTATGAAACTTTCAGAGGATGTTCTAGAGACACCCTAAGGTTTAATTTCAGCTATGCCGCCACCCCCGAAACCCCGGACGGCACTTGCTATAGCGGGTTTCTTAAGTGCAAGGTAGCATTTCAATACCCGCCCATCAAATGAGTCAAAAATGTATGTCCAGGGTTTGTTTTGTATTTTCTTACATCTTAGGAAGGTTGAAGGGAATTGTCAAATACCCAGGGAGAATTTATTTAGGGTATTTTACGTGGTTTGCCTATTTTTAAGGCGCTTTTAACAGTGCGAACTAGGGAATACAATCCCGCAGCAAAATCTCAATCCCGGTATTTGCGGGATGGTTAGATGCTAATCCCGCGGGATCCCGGTATTCTGTATTAAAATAAATCGCTAATTATCACAATATTTAACACAAAAGTACCTTCGGCCTAACTTAGAACTCAAAAAAACCTTACCTGTAAAGCACAAAAAGTCTTCTAAAGTGCCTCAAAAATCATAGTACATTTCTAACGAAAAAAGCTTAACAATTATTTAAAAAATAATTCGCCGTTATCAGTTTCATTAACAAAGTAAACAGAGTCGTCCCCTTGGTCGACAAATTCATCAGTCCCGCACATCCCGCGGGATCCCGCTCCATTTATGTGCGGGTTTAATCTCGCAAAAATGCTGCGGGATCCCGGTATTTCGGGATCCCGCAATCCCTGTATTGCATTCTCTAGTGCGGACAGTAAAATCGTGACGGGGACCTCTTTTGGCTGCTCTATTGAATATTATACTATGCTCTAAAGTATTTATTGAGACATTACAATGCTGAAAGGAAAGTTAACAATATCTACGGCACTAAAATTATTGAACCCTATCTTGAGAACACTCGCTTCCACAGTCGCACAATTCGATGCAGGGCATGTCGGACTTGACAAAGCTGCATCTTTGTGTGCAACCTTTCTTACATCCACATTTTACTAAGATTACAAAAGCTTCTGGAACTGGAGGTTTTAAAATCCAGACAGGCTCCTATTCTTGATCTTCACTCGAGTTTCTCCAACCCCAATCACATGGATCCGGAAGTTGCTGTTGCGCCAGGAGGCAATGTCCCCATACATGTCCTGCGAATGTATGTAGATTAAGTTTGTTTGTTGAATATGGATTCAATTGTAAATGCATCTATTCGCCTACTTACCGCCTCTCTTAAGAAAGGTTGCACACAAAGATGCAGCTGTGCCAAGTCCGACATGCCCTGCACCGAATTGTGCGACTGCGGAGGCGAGTGTTCTCAAGATAGGGTTCAATAATTTTAGTGCCGTAGTTATCGTTAACTTTCCTTTCAGCATTGTAAAGTCTCAATAAATACTTTAGAGCATAGTTAACTATGTAATACCACAGATTTAAATATACTACAGATGGATCATGAGATAGGCGATTGTGGAAACACAACAAACGTTCCAGTTGCTAGCGCACCTATATGAATTTTATTAAATCGAAAGTTTTAGTTTGGGTCTCAGCTTAAAATAATCAGCAGGAGTCTGTATAACGATGGCATAGAAGGTTTTTACTATTGATGGTGCTGAAAAGCAATATGATATGAATTTTTTCTTCGTAATTAAAACAGTGGGTCTTTGTATTGTGTGTTTGTGTTCAATTACGACCTTGTGTGGGCGTATCTGTGGCCGTTCTCTCTCCTTCAATTTAAATTAATCAAATCCAAGAACAATTTTTTTCTATAGAATGGTAGTTTCAGTTTCAGCCTGAAAATTAAAATTCTGTAATCAACTACTATCAATCGAAAGTTTTGATATGTCTATACGTTCATTCAAGGCATCGCCAAATGAAATTGAAACCAGGTGTAAAATTCTTGCAGAACAGCTTTTTACAACTACTCGAAAACTTCACTCGTTATCTGTTTGTTTATTTTAACTTAATTTTACTACCCGCATGTCAGTCAGGGAGGTATTGCAGTGGGGTAAAAAATGATCCCTCCCTTTTTTGACGGGAATACATCAAATACATGTTTTGAGGCACCAGGAATCCGAATCAAACAAAATCTCGATGATGTATACAGGGTGATCAAAGTTGTATTTTTTTAAATAGAACTCACCTATATTATTGCATATTTCGATTACTTAGTCAATTTTAGTGTGACTTTATTTACACATGATATCTAAAATGAGTGGCTGAGTCATTTTCTCAAAAAATAAATGTCCAGTAAAAATTGAAAACGAAGTTTCCATAAAACTTAGAAGGCCATGACGCTGCAGTATTACTGATCATCACGTGTGCTTACCTACATACGCCGAACTTTTTTTGTGCTAAAAGAAATCACTGTAAATTTTCAAAATTTCAATCAAAGATAACTTGATTTTTTATAATGAAACTACCAAGTTTTTTATTGCATCAAATGTAGGATTTGATTACCTTTCTAACGATATAAGCACGCCGTATTTACCTTTTATACATATTTTTGTAATTCAACCATTTCTAATAATATACAAGGTTTGTCGATTTTTAAAGCCTCTCAGTAATTAATAGGCCGTTAAAAGTTAAAACACCTATTCTAATAATTATAAAACAGGAAGTTATATTTAAAAAAAGTGCAACTTTGATTTAAATCACCCTGTATAACAATTGCAATTTCGTTGAAAATATTTTTAGGTTGTAGCCTGAAGAGTCCTTCAATATGTCCCGACAATGAATTTTAAATATTCTTTTCAAATCCTAAGTATTTAGTAACCGCGCACTAAGCTGCTGTATTTCGGAGAATTTACTTAATACATATATTTTTTTGTAATAAAACCAAATTTGTGTAGGTTAAACCAAGAAAAATAATCTCTTTCAAATAACTAAATAAAAAATTTAGCGCTAGTACCTATGTATTTGAAAAAAAGTTTATTTGTAATAAAACCTAGCATAATTTGTATAGGTTGTACACAGAAAAAGAAAGTCTTCCGAATAATTTAATAAAAATTTCGCGTTATTGCTATTTAAAAAAAATAGTATGACGTTTACATCCTTTATGCCTAATCTGCCAACGTATGTACGTACATAGGTACATACGAGTTAAAACAGACAGTAAAAATTTGTATTCTTTAAAAGTTGCTTAAAATGATCTAAAACGTTGACGTTTGATGAAATTTTGATACGTCCAAAAACGGTAATCGCAATATAGCCACCCCGCGCTTTTTGACAACCCGTACGGATTTACTACTATCTCAAAATATATCGAAGTACTTTCTTCACTATTTTGTTCCGCATTATCATGCAGCCTTTGAAATTCATGACTATACCAAGAACAGAATGGTTCCACGTACATATAGTGGAAATTGTAACGTCTACTGCGGTACTTCCCCAATATAGGGTCTCAACTGGAATGCGACATTTTCGATCTCACAGAAATTTGGTATCTGCGTCTCTTTAAGAGAAAAATAACGAAACCAAAATTGTTTTTGAAAATTCGAATTTGAACTGCAATTCTGGACCAGACATAGGCCTACGGTAGTTTTTAGCTCATTTTTGCAAAGTAGGATCGATGTCAAAACTCTAATTGCATCTTCATTTGTTCTTAATAGAAGCTTTTCATATCACTTTGGCCGGCTGACTGGCTGGCAGCAAATGAGGGCCTGTAGACAATCGCATGTAGAAAGACGAAGAGTGTACGTGTCCATACGGGGTCGTGTAATTAACAACTTTAGGGATGTGGGGACGGCGACATCTGGGCGCCATCCCCACGCGTGGTTTACTAACGTGGTAATTTTTAGTTTTGCCTATCTTCTTCTACAGTTTTGGTCGAGGTCGAACCCATAATCGCACGTCAAGATACAATTTTACAAGTCGTACGACAAAATCGTATAGTAATGTGAATCTTGAAATATTTGGTTATGGCAAGTCGCAAGTCGCAAGAGAAATCGTAATCAAAATCACATA